CCTGCTGCTCCTGCCCCGTCCTTGGCGCTCCGAAACCCGCCCGTGCTTCCCCCGCTCTTGCACCTTGCGCGTCCCCGTGAACTGGGGAGCGGGCTGCTGCGGGTGCTGCCAGTGCTGCATGCCGGGGAGGGGGAGATGCTGCAGACAGGGACCCCAGTGAGTTTTCATCGGCATTTGTCAATGGGAAACCCATGGAAAACTAGCGCAGAGATTATCGAGACAAAGTGTCAGGTAGCAATGTACAAGAAAATAAGCATCCTTCCCGCTGGCGTGTTTTCCCGTTCCCTGCAGACTGAGTGCAGTTTTGCTAATCGCTATTAAAACGATGATGACGATAATACCTGAAAAATCTCCTTATTGTTGCAGCTGGGCCAGAAAGCTACGGGAGAGCTTTTACATAATAAATTGCACGAGTTGTTTCAGAAACACTGTTTCTAACTTTACCGGCTTGCGGACAGAAACAGCACTTTGATAAAGCCTGTCCTTTCCCTAAGCGTTCTTTACCATCCACATCTGTATTGTGGAGCAGCGGGGGAAATGTTGCTTGTTTGTTTTCAATCTAGATTAATGCAGGGTTTTTAATACAAACATGAACCTGTCTTCAGAAGTTGACATGACTTAAGAACCAGCCAATTGGTTGACGTTTAAGTAACCTTCTTTTTACATTTAAACCCCATCAAAGAGTTGTTTACACTAATGTTCTTTTGAAATGCAAATCTAGAATGCCAACAGACTGAAACTCAATTTAGATTAATGTAATTATCTGCAACATACAAATGAGGATATACTATTTAATAACCTTCACTTAAACCTTTTTAGAAGATGAAAAAGACTCCCATTGTTGAAGTTTAGTACTACAACAATTAAAAAATGGCTCTGTGATTTTTGTGTTATCCTTGCAACTTGGTAGAAGTTTGTGGATTTGCTTTGGTACTCTGAAGTACTATTTTTGTCACATAAATACAGCTTGCATTGAGAAAGTGTAACCTAATGCTTTGTGAGATGTTAGGTCACCTCTTGTAGGAAGATTTTTTGCTGCTTTCCTCTTAGAAAATTGTTTTCCATCAGAAAAATAATAGATTCTTTCCTTGCTTTAGGCTTTAAAGAAGTCAGTGCTCCAACTATTACCCCACCTCTCAATCAGCCCAAAAGATCAAAAAAACGCCATACCAATTTGACATTGGATAAAATGATGGAAAAGTTCCTGCAGCAGAGCATGGATACAGACGAGAAATTTTACAGATTTGAAGAGCAGAGGCTCAAAATTGAGGACAAGCGTCGGGAAGCTGAGCATGCTCGAGAACTCCAGATGTTACAGATGTTGGGACAGATGTTGGCTGGAATTTCTTCTTCAGTATCACAGAGGTCACAGTCTATACCAACAAGTCCACCTCGGAGAGCGAACCATCGTTCATATGCGGATAACTTTAATTATAATGCTATGACAGCAACACTTTCTCCACCGATAGGTACTTCCTTCTACAGCATAAATAAAAGCTGGGGTACTTTTTAAAACTTCTGTGTGAAAGCACTGGTAGTAAGCAGCTTTTGAAAAATAAAAGCTAATTGGAATTATTTAATACTGTGGTGAAGGTGTTTGTCTGATATAAAATGAAATTAAATCATTATTCGTACCATTGTACTGATTACTTGATACAGGTACATTAGTTATAACAAATTTTCATGAGCAAAATTATACCTTTGGAACCCTGTAAACCTTGGGAACTTCTTTCCACATTCATATCTCTGTACAGTGAAGTGAGGAGCTGCATATGTAGCTGGAAGCAATCTGGAAACATGAGTTACTCTGTAGCAGAAATATTGCTGCTGTTCTGCTTGAAGTTACCAAGCATAACCCCGTATATGAAGTTAAGGCTGTGCATGTGTTTTTTCAGGGCTGGGAAAATAGAGGAGTTTTTCCTACGCTGAAGTAAGTCAGATGTTAAGATCTAGCTTTAAAATAAATTTCTTTACAACAAAATTCTGAATCCTATAAATTAAATATTGTATTCTTGTAGTAGGTGTAATAGAAGATGAAAATACTTGCTTATGTTTTTTTTTCCTATACCAGCTCTATAAATTCTATGGGCATCGGAGTTTACTTTAAAGTAAAAGGCAAAGCAGTATCTCAGGAATTGGTATTTATGCACAAACTTCCTTCTGTACCTCATGTGTGGGCCAGAAGCTGATGGTAGTAATCATTAACAAACTTCTTGGGATCTGTGTGCCTGTGGCATTTATCTTCATCATGGTCTCTTTGTACTTGGAGGTAGGCTGCATGGGCAGGAGGAAATCAGGGATATTCCATCAGTGCTGGAAGTAGAGTCAGACTGGATCCTAATGACTGTAGCCTGCCACGTGGAAATGCAGAAACTCTAATTCTGTTCTCATTCTGATTTTCACACTACTTGGAAGGAAAAAAGTGTAGTTTGAAAAGAGGGAAAAAAAAAAAAGGAAGCAGCCAGCATCAGTGTTGAATAATAATCTGGCATGCCAGATCCTAAGGGGCATTCCCTGAGTCCTGAGAGGTCCTTTCAGTTGTGTGTTAGTTATAGTTTCCCTGTGAAGTGCAGGCAGGCTGGTGGTTAGGCCTGTTGAGGGTTTAGGCTGGCAAATATCATTGTGTTCCTTGAGTGGATAGCTGGTGTGTGGGATTTCCTGGTGGCGGCAGACTTTTGCAGATCATTTATGGGATATGAATGGATACAGTCTTTCAAATGTTCTCACTTTTAAAATTAAGGAAAATTTGTGTGCTTTAGAAAATCCTATAGGAAATTATTTAAGGTTCTAGACTGGGGTGAAGGTACCTACAAGGCCTTGCCATTACTTCTGAAAGTTTTTTCCTGAAAAACTTAATTATGTGTAGCAACCTGAAACTGAGGTTCAATTTTTCTTGTTGGATTTCATCATATAGGTGTACAGGCATATTGCACAATGCAAAAATTCATTTTATTTATTTTACTGTAGCGAGAGCAATTCGAGATTCTAATCTTCTAATTGGCAAGGGTGTAAAAAAGTGTTTATGCTAAAATGTGAGCATAGTGCTTCAGGCAACACATCTTTTAAGGAATTAAGATTTAATTTGTTGAGAGCTGAATATGCCATAGTGATTCTGTAGGTAGAGTAGGGCTATATTAAGAATGGCTTTTTGCATAATTCTCTGCTTTCTCTCCATTTATTATGTAGTCATTTTATATTCACACATGAACAAGAACCAGCAGCAAATAAACACAAGGCCTTCTTAGCAACACTGCAGTTTAAGGATCCCAAGCTGCATAATATTTTTGTGTGGTTGAAAACCAGCAACTGTGTGAAGTGTGATTTAAAGAAAATAATCTGCCCTGTTTTCAGAGGAGCTGAGGATTTTGTTCTCCTCTGGGTCACTGCAATACTATTTTGGCTGTAATCCAAATCAGGTTGTGGGTTTTTTCTTTTATTTTCATTCCTTTCTTTTTTTACCCCCTCCTCACCCCATTTTTATTATTTCTCAGCAAGACTCGGATGCCTGTATTCAAGAGCAAAAGATCAGCCAAGAGTATTTATCATTATTGAAGACTAAAGCATACTATTACTGAAGATTAGCCTGTTTGGTTTAGATTCTGTGAAAGACAAAGAAAAAGATGTATTTTGCTGATAGCACCCAGACTTGGAATTTTCTTGTTTATTACATTTTTTCCCCTTATTATACCCAGTACTTCTGGAACAGAAATTTTCTTTTTTTTTTTCCTTCTTTTTTCCTCCCCTCTGTATTTTGGAGTTGAGGGTTTGGGATATTGAGTTGTGTACAGCTGAAAATAAGGAATATCATGGGAATTATTTTCTACATAATTATGTTATACATGTGTAGCAGTTCTTGAAAGCTTTTTAGAGGATCTGTAAAAAAGAAAGTAAGCGTGGCTATGATCTAGAACACTGATATTAGCATTCAAATAAGCCACTCTTCTGAGCAAAGTTTTACAGGTAATGAGGAGCTTTTAAGAATTTGCTCTTTTAGTGTATTTGCTGCAGTTTATAGTTAACATATTGTTGATAGAAGTAGTGATCTTCACATTTTCCCCATGTTAGGTAAATGTTTTGATTCTTTCTAGTTGTAATTGTTGAAGTAACTTTTTCTTCTAAATTTTTGTAGCCTTTGGAAAGAGTAATTTGATACATAGCCTACTGAGTGTGCAGTTGTTTTAGTATGTGGCTTGACATGTAGCTTTGCATCAGAGATCTGGAGACGTATTATAGCTAAAAATGATCTTTGTGTGATATTTGTGATGTTTGCATCTAGTGTGTTGGATTATAGTTTTGCAGAAAGACTTTCACTATGCTTTGTAACCGCCTACCAAAATAACAAAGCAGTGATTCTGCTAAGAGGTGGAAGTCTTTAAGGGGATGCGAAATATAAGGTAGGGTGTACATTTAAAATTTGGTTTCAGTTGCTTTGTGCTTGCTCTGTGGATGTGTTAATCCTTACTAAGTGTTCCTATTTCAGTTGAGCTTAATTATGGAACTGATTTCAGGCTGAACTAAGAAGGTATTTCTAGTTGAAAAATGTTCATGTAACTATTCTGGGTGGTTGCTTCTTTCTGTACCTGAGCCCTAAATTAGGACTGTGAACAGTCAGTGAGAATATTCTCTTCATCAGAATGCATTTTTATAATCATCACCTTCCCTAGTTACTCACTGTTCTAAAGGCCTTTAAGTGACAAAGCGTTTGGATTTTAGAAGTATGTCACTTTGTGTATCTTTGTGTGATTTTATTAGTGTACATGAGTGCTTAAAAGAAATGCTTGGCAGTAGTTTAAGGAAGAACATTCTTTGAAGTAACACTTCTTTTCTTCTTTTCAGTTATAGAGAGGTCTTTTTCACTGCACAGAACACACACTCTGAAGGATATGGAGAATATTTTCCAGCTGGTGCGCAATGTTATCCCTCCTCTCACAGGGAAAAAGCATAAAGGTCAAGATGGTCGTATAGGCATTGTTGGAGGATGTCGAGAGTAAGTTAAATAGAAATTTGATTTTTGCTTCTGATAAAGCTTCAGAATTTCGTAACTGTTGGAGAAGCCATTCAAACTCACCTTGCCCTTAAACCACAGTTTTCCAGAGAGCTCTAGGACTCCATCATCATGACCAAGCATACTTAGGAAAGGATCCGGTACCTTGCAGATGTGTTGCAGAGTTTTTATTCTGAATGTTATGGGAACTTAAAATGCTGTTTGTGTCTACCTTTTCTGTCTTTTTTGACCACCAAAAGCTGTTAGTCTTTTCCCATTGCATGGTGAGGTTTTAGAATAAATAGAGTAATACAGTGGCACATCTGATTTTTTGCCTTCTCGGGGACTGTGTCTCTTTTTTCTTATGCTGTGTTTTCTTGTGGGCATTTTATTTTGATAAATATTGGTGTTTAGTAGATTCTGTCAATGTCTTGCTTTATGTACTGGAGTAATGGAAATATCCTGTTTCAGGGGAGAAAAAATGTACTGCATAAATCAGTTAAATGCAGTACTGACCTAGAACCAATTTTGGCCACAATACTTTGAATGAGCCACTACACCTTCCTTCTTTTCATTTTCCCATTTTGAAAGAGAGATGACATCTTTCTCCTGTAAGAGAGATCTACTGTTGGACATCTGCTGTTAATAAACATTCCATAAAGAGCAAAAAGGTGCTGTCTTGTAGCTGGGTCAAATATCCAGGAGTTAGAAGATAATGGTCATAGGTTCATTCAGTCTCTTTGTTGAAGTAAGTACTTTTGGAGAGTGATTGTACTCATATCTCTCTCCTCAGTCTTTATAAAAAGAGAATTTAGGGCAACTGGAATCACAATTTAGGCACTTTAGTTAAGCATCTAAAGCCAGATGGGATTGATCCAGGTCACAGATCCCATATTTAGCTTGCAAACAGTTTTTGGCTCCTGTTTTGTTTGTCTCTGAAGTTTTACCTCTGTTACTTAAGAAAATTTTGCTGGTTTATGGCATGATCTGTGTAAATATTTCTATGAGAGATCATTATCTAATCTCATTACTGTGGTTCCTAACCTAAGTTTTGTTTCATTTTAGATACACTGGAGCACCATATTTTGCTGCAATTACAGCCCTCAAAGTGGTACGTGTTCTTCTATACAAGTCCAAAATGAACTTTTCATCGTTTCTGTTGCCTAGGTGTCTTTTTTAAAATAGCTTTCATTCTGTAGTGCACATGAAATTTGAGCTCTAGAAGGTCTTCTCTTAAGCAAAGAAAATCCTTAGTTCAGAATTTGTACAAATTCTTTGTAAATGTGTCATTTACTGTGTTTCATTCACCATGTTTCCTTTCTCTGTATAAGGTGAAGTTAGAAATATTTCCAAAATTTGACATTTTAAGGGACTTGGATAGGAAATTTCAAGACTTGATGAAATATTTTCTCCAAAAGTGAACAATGAAATAACCTTAGATTATTGTTTAGAGTTATGTTTTTGTGCTGTAGTGAGTTCTTTGGAAATTTTTTCTGGACCTGATAACTATGTTGAATGAAACAACTTTCTTTCAAAATTTAAAAGTTTAGACTAGTAAAATTTTTATATGTGGTAAGTTTAAAGATTATGGGTGGAATTCCATGTAATTTCTAATAGCACATTTTATTTGCATTCTAATCTTCAGCAGAAGTATTTTCTAAGATTTTTTTCCTAGAAGCATGAACTACCTTATTTTATTGACATATTAAATGGCTAAACTGACTACATAAATACAGGGTGATTGTTTAAATGTAAACAAGTCATGCTTATATAATACATCTGATTTTCAGAATGCTATATATAGTGTGTCAGTACTTTCAGCTCATTGTGTCTGTTTTTCTTTTTGAAGATTTCTCTCAATATGTAGGTAACCATCCCAGATATTTCTAACCACTTCTTCTCTCAGGATGCAAACCCTCAAAGATTTGAAACTGAAATGATGTTATTTAACCATGTTACTATAAAATCACAAGGCCACTCAGCTTTCTGTCCACTATTCTGTCCACTATGTGGACAAGTCCAGTGGCAATACCAAGAGGTTCCTTACTGAGGTCACTTGATTTCAGACCATTACACCTGCACATAAACAGTCACAAACAGTAGCTTGAAATGTTCAATGTATAGTGGTAAAACAGAGAAGACACTTCCTTGATACTGAGAAGTTTCAGTATGCATGACCAATACAAGATCACTGGTTTGGTCACTCCTTACATAATTTTATGTGTGCTCTGATTTTTTGAGTTGGTAGCAGAAGCTTGAGACTCAACTCTTTAGCTTTAATGTTTATTTAACATAGGGTGTGTTGCCAAAATTGTGCCAGTGTTTTTCATGTATGAATTTTGCCTATTGAGTAAAAATGGTAGGACTAGAAACGTATTCATGGGTCACCATAGCTATATTTTCAAGTGTTACAATCGTATTATGGCTCTCTTAAGTAGTTTTACTCATGTTCATCTGTGTCTTTTGTACATGAGACTTTGTAGTCTTTGCTCATCTACAGATGAGAAACATTTCTCAAGTGAATAAAATTTTGAGATTTGCATTTTCAGTCATCCTGTTAGCAAGAAACAGAAAAAAAATTATATTGGAAGTTACATACAAAAAGAACAGAGCATTTCATACTAGTCTATGCCAAAATAGAAGAAACATAATAAAACTTGTTTAAACTACTGAGAGAAAACTATTCAGTTGAATTATTAGTTGAATAATCTTTGGAATGATTAAGTTATTATTAAGTATAAATTTGACAATACTGTTTGCAAATTTTCTTTTTTAGGGTGCAGATTTATCCCATGTGTTTTGTACCAAAGATGCAGCAACGGTAATCAAATCATATAGTCCAGAGCTGATTGTTCATCCAGTTCTGTAAGTGACTTACAGTTTGTTTAAATGAGCTAGTCAGGCTTACTAGTTTTAATATTTCAGTCTGATAATTGATTAGTTTGTGTTATTTATTTTACTGAGTTACTGGATGGATGGGCGTGGAGATCACAAAAACTCCAGGCTTTGTCCTTTTGTTATGACCATTTGAATATTTAATATGGGACAGTCAGCTGTGAATTTCTTTTCATGACTGTCAAAGTACAAGTTTTAAAAAGCAGAGATCTTTCTTCCTGCTTCTCCCTGGCTTGTTCTGTGGTTGTAATGCATTTAGCAGTGAGCAGCAGCAAGATCCAGAGCTAAAAACTGCTACAAGTCGGCATTTTGCAATCTGCATTTGAAAGGCAAATGGAGTGTGTTCTCTTGCTTCCTCAGTATTAATAGTATTTAATAGTAGAGTGTCTGTTTTCCTCTCACTACTGTGTATATAGACACCTTGTAAAATTTTACAAGGCAAGAGAGATGCCAATTTTCCTTTTTCTTCATGAGTATGTTGCTTGAAATACACACCTGTTCTGGGAATTAATAGATGTTCCAAAATTATATAAAATAAGGGTTTAATTAACAAGAATAGGAAAAGTCGAATAAGTGACTGTCCTCTAATTGAGAAAATCAGTGTCGATGTGTGTGTGCTTCTCCGAATTTCTGTTCTTAAATATGTTACTGATTGATGAACTTTCATAGGATAAATTTGTTTCAATTAGGTGTTTTGATTGTTTGCAATGAGCACTGCAAATTGGAATTAAGATGTGTGCCTTAGGTGTATGCCTGTGAGCTTAGTTCACACCAGTGCATGTCAAAGTCTGTTGGTGTACATAGCAAAGCTGTGATGAGGATAGGAAAAGCATGATTTAAAAATATGTTTGTCAGATATTGCTGTCAGGAAGGATTTATGACAGTAGGAGTATTTTGGTGTCTGAGAACAAGAATGTGGTCTTCCTTATGGGGATGTCTGCGTTGGAAGTTGTAAGTTTATTGCATTCATTCCTGTTGCTGGAGACAGAGGTGCTTAGAAGGAAGGCAGCTAAACAGGGTTGTGTTTTTTGGCTGCTTTTCCCCCCCACTCCCCAAATGTAAAAGAAACCCATAACTTTATGGATTTCAGACAAAATAAAAATGATGTTTGAAAGCAAGAAGAGATGGGTAGGGGTTTTACCAGTATAACTGTTTATCTCTTCAGTCTAAAAAGCATCTCTTCAGTTGATGTTCTGTCTGATATCATATGATAGCAAATGCAACGGAGAAGCCTAATTGCAATATTAGCATTTAACTTGGGGTGTCTGGATGGTTTCACTTGAGGTACAGCAGATGGTTATCTTGTATGGTGGTGAGTTGACCTTGCCTTGGGAAAAGCTTGGTTTGTGTATGCAATGCTTCTTGATGTCTCGTAATGGAAAAGGTTAATAGGAGAAATAGAAGCAGTACAGAGGAAAAGGGAGCTGAAAATAGGGTTAACAGTAAACTTTCTGTTAATGAAGAACCACATCAGGCCTGCTAAGTAAGAGTGGGATTTTTTTATACACAGATTCTCAATGTCTTCTGTGGAATTCAGATTTCAGTGAAAACTCTGATCTTTCTACCTTCTACAAGAGAACTTCTGATTTTAGACTTCTACTCTGTCTATGAGTTCCTTCAGACATACACAGTATAGTTAATCTGCAGATTTTCATATCCATATATCTTGTAAGTCTGTGACTCAGTATTTAATACTTTATTAAAACTCTGATTAATTTCACACAGACAGCTGGGCTAATTGCATGATGCAGTGGGTCTGTAAATACTGTTTACGTGACATTCAAAATGAAAAAAAACCCACAAATATCTGAGCGTTCAGATTTTATTTATTAAATTTTCTTTTATTTTTATCTGTTCTGCTTCATTCTCAAACCGGGACAGAGGGAAAGAGAAAGGAGTCTTTTCTGGTTAGAAAGGAAAAAATCTTGATTGACTCTACTGAGCCCAGGTTTTATTGAAATTTACCCTAACAGCCTAATTTTCTTGCAAGGTGCTTTGTGTTCAGTGTCCCAGTGTTCATCTGATCCTTTGTGCGTGGTGGGGCGGTTTGCGTTCCGCGGGCACGGCCGGCTGCTCCTGCCTCGGAGCCTGATCCCTTAAACAGCCTTTGTGCCTCCTCCCGGCCGCGCTTCACGCATGGGGGAACCTCCGGGTAAAACCCACCAGCAGCTATGCCATTGTTTGCTTTTGTGGCTCTCCTCAAAACTCTGCTTTGTTATGATTTCTCCATGACCCTTCAGAGTAACTAGGTAGCTGTTGTGCCACTCTGTTATTATGCTAATCATAATTATGGCCCCGTGTGCTCAACCCCCTGTTTGAGCAGCTTGGCACTTCGCCAGGGTTCAGCTGCCATTTTGTACTGCTGGCAGTCTGACATTTTATCATCTTAGCTGCCACTGCTTTCTCTACTGCCTTCACCTCACAGAGGATCACCTCAAGGGAAGAAAATGCTCTTTTCTTGCCCTCTCTGGGTGCTTGGGCTCCTCTGGCTCATTAGAGCTGCTGTTGTGGATCTTTGCCAGCATGACTGGTGAAGGCATGGAGAGTTAGAAGTTGGACTGGGGCGTTTCAGGTCTTTGGCAACTGTCTGTCACTTGAAGGATGCAGAGAATGTTATGTGAGAATGATTGAGCAGGATTGCAGAAGGAGGGTTATGAAAATGAACATCCATCTTGCAGCATTGCCAAGGCAATTCCACATGATCTCAGATGCAGTCCCTCCCAGGAATCCTTTTGGTGTGACATTCCGTTTTGGGGACACCCATAGAGCCGCTTTCTGTAGTTTTTGTTTCTTGACTTCATTCCCTGTAAGTGAATACGAGAGCTGGGACTGCATGCCTGGGATCTGGAAAAATGAAACTTCAGCACCTGGCTTTGTGTCCTCACTACCTGAGCAGAATAAGGAAAGCAGGATGTCTAGGGGCTGTGAATAGTCAGTATTATCAATAGTAACTTTTCCTTTTTATTCAGGGATTCTGTCAAATGCATTATATCCCCTTCCACAAGGACGTGGCATTATTCAAAAATTGACCAGCTAACCAGTTCAATATTGATGTCCAACTTCTTGCTTTCCTGTGGAGAAGCAAAAAATGCGTATTGCAGAAGTTGGGGTCTTTGAATAGTGGAATATACCCAGTCTTGGTGACATGTGCTCTCCTTGGTCTTGTCACTGCTACCTCAGGTTTGTGCTGCACTTTCCTGTTCTGTCAGCTAATGTGCTCCTACTGTAAATGCTTCACAAATACAGGCAAGATAAAACCTAGCTTTGGCATTTTATTAAGTTTTATTGCAGGTGTTCTCTGTGTGGATTTTTGCTGTAGATGTGTGCACACTTCCTTCATGCATTTCTAGGGAAGAGTTTTCAGCAGCTTTTTTATATTTGCCATGGTAGTGGCCTGGCTCAGATCAGGCTGAATAGACTACTTGAATACCAGTGTTGGGTTAGCTTATCCTGTCCTGGTAGGCAAGTGATCACAGAGCTAAATGAGCTGTAAGAACCCAGGTGGTTGTATGTTGAAAGAAGAGAGAATAAATCTATTGTGCTATTTTCCCCTTTTGCCAGGACTTTTCATAATTGTACAGGGATTTTTTCTCTGTAGGCCAGAAAAGAGCCAGATAATACTGAGTAGCCCCCTTGTAAGCTGGTCATCAGACAGTTTGTAAAGTCAACAATCAATATACTCCTTGATCTCCAGGGTTTTATCAGAGAAGTAGAATGAGGTCATTGATTTCTTGTGGTGCCAAAGAAGTGACGTAATTCTACGTTATCCACCAAAAAAGCCACCCTTGAACAAGGCATGGATTTAGAGCTAAAACCTTCCTCTTAGCTGGTTATATCTCTGGGTTTGTGTGGACTAGGAAAGATTGTCAGAATTACTTCAAGTCTTACAATTAATTGCAGAGTTCAGGTTTTGGGTTGCATTTTGGAAAAGATTATTCATTTGAATTTGAAATAAGAATAATTGGGAAAAAAATACTTCTGAGGCTGGACTGTTTGTTGAGGGCCGCTATCTTTAATGAAGAAACTCAGTGAAGATCAGGGTTTCTGGAACATATTTTACCTAGTTTTATTGAATTTTGTCTATGTTTTGAGCATTTGAAAAAATTATGAAAGTGAATCATGGGTAGTTGAGGCCCTGATAAGTTACTTGAGCACTCTGAACCAGTGCCAAATCTCTTATAGAAAGCCCAGCATTAATCTTAATATTTTTGGTCTCCTGTAATTTATTATGTGAAGAGGAGATGCAAAAGCATTGATGCAGTGTAGAAGGATGCTCATACCTTTTAGTTGTGTTAGCTAAGGATAGCTATTAAACACTATTTTGGTGTATAGTTGTGTTAGCTAAGGACAGCTGTTAAACACTATTTTGGTGTAATGCTGGCACTGACCTCACTTTTGGATCAGCTGCTGGAAGAAGTGCAGAGTTATTGTCACCAGGGAAAGTCAGGGAATAAACAGACGCCTCCAACAATCAAAATGATGTCTCACAAGTGACTTGGCTGCTGGGTCACCTGCAGCAAAGATGAAGGAAGATATAAACTTTGTGATCATTCTTCCAAAGCCTCATCTAGACATGAGCCTGGCTAGGAATCACATGAGAAAGTCCAAGTTTTTTTCTTAAGTACTTAGAGGGAGATAAAGGTCACGTTTGTATGTGCTGACTTAGAAAATGTATATATTTAAACTCTTGTTCTGTCATGGAATGCTGTGGCCAAAACTTGCTTATGGACCTGTTTCCTGTGTCCAGCCTCCTTGGCAAAAAACTGCTCCTTCTTTGCTGTGTGTTGCAGAGTGAATAAAAGCAGGGAGGTTATTCACCCTGTGCTATAGTCCCTTTCCTTCCTGTAGTCGCAGACATCCCCTGTGATTCCAGCAGAGGTTTTGTCACCTCCTCAAAGTGTGAGAAATAGCCAAAGATTTTTAGCATTGCTGCAGGGAGTGCTGCTGTCCTTGCTGCTTTCTGATATGTC